CGGATTCAGCACATTTGTCACTGAACACCATGAACAGACTAACAGGCCACGTCCAAAAACAGGAAAAACAAACTTGTTTTTTGATTCAACACATTCGTGCGATTCATGAAGCCGCCTCTGTTCTGCAAAAATTAAATCATTCAAAGGAGGAAGGAGGAACACAAAGGCCCATTTAGCATGTCTTCAATGGGGGGGGCACAAGATCTACAGGAAATATTATGAATCCATCATTTCCTCTTCAAAATATACTCTACTGGAGGGAAGCAGCGGCTCTTCGTTCCCTCTCCATCTGCAGACGGCAGCCCCGAGGTTCCATTAGAGAGGAAGGCTCGTGACCGGTTAACGGCGAATCAGGAGTCACGTAGTGACTGGAGACGGCGACAAAGAAACTCCTCTTCCAAATCGGCAATTACAGCCGAAGGTCCCTACGAGCACGGCGCTAAAGCACAGAGCTTCATCGCCCCACCGCCTTCAGGCCGCTGCAGACGTCGTTGTGATGCACGCGGCGTCACTGCGTCGGCCTCTTGTTGAAGACAGGCTGACGGCTCAGGACGGCGTGTTAAAGTGGCGTTAGAGGGAAAGGAAGACGCTGAACGACGGGGCTGGGCGGGTGAATAGAGGGACGGGAACAGGAAGGTCAGAAGTTCAAAACCCTGTAACGTCTACGTGTCCCGTGGAAGGGAAACATGAGCTTGACCTCCCGACAAAGTCACTCATGGTTAATCCCCCCCCCCCCCCGAATGAGGACGTTTGGCGAAATGCCTAAAATGCAAATGTAATCAAAGAGTTTATGGTTCGGATGAGCTGGCAGGGCCGTAAAAAAAAAATTTAAACAAAATGCAAGATTCATCTGTGTGAATCGATGCTCTGTTCTGCTGAGCAGAACAAAGAGGAGGAGTGTTGAGTTCCTCACAGTTGCTCTGCGATGTATTTTCATCCATCACCTGCTGGATACTGTAAACTCCTCGTGCCGGGTGGGATCTCGGTGAAGGAGCGCGGCGCAGACTGTGTAAATAATCGTTATGAGCGCCTCTTGGAAGTACTGACATCGCTGCCTCGGCTTTCACGGTCCATCGCTCGGCCGCCTCGTGGTTTTAGGAATCACTCCGTAGGTTTCCTTAATGGCAGAAGACGATTTAATGGATGGAATCAATAAGAGGATCGGTTTCCTGCAGCGTTTCTGGCTACGTCACGAGTTTGACCCGCCTCCAAAAGACAATTTGAAAAATCTATTTTTGGATCACAAACATCCGGTGTTATAAGTAGTCTATTACCAACACTAAATTTATTACACATCACTGATTTATTTGTTCTTTTTCTAGAGCGGTGGAGGTTCTAAGACATTCTTTAAAGATGTGGTGTTCCTCCCCTGGTGTTGGATGGGCACTTCCACTTACTGTCCCTCAATCAGCCAGGTGCACTTGGTTTTGTACTTGTAGTTCCCTGGACCGTCGGTCAGGTGACCGGAGGGTCCCGTCAACCTGAAGGAACAGAGGAAGAGGAGAGAAAAGATCAATTAAAGGTTCCAAAGGAAGATGCGACACAGCAGCAAACATCACCAAGAGACGAACAGCTTTCAGGCAACAGTGTCCAACAAGCTGGACAGAGAACAGAGTGCATCCGTCACATTAAAGAGCAGCATTCAACACAAGAAAGGGAAGCCAAATGGCTCCACATGGGATTCATTCATCTATGTCATATCTTTCACCAATCAAACTGTTTAATCTCAATAGAATTTCATCAAAGTAACTCACTGAAACAACTGATTTATGGTGCAATAACAAATGAACACTGATGCCTCTGAAATACTGTCAGATTTTCATTCATCTAAACACGTTTTACATGTTCACAGGACAGGTTTCTATGCATTTAAAGTGAGAGAAATGACTTAACGTTTTAAAGGCTGTAACAAGCACATGTTTTGTGGTTTAGACTGAATAATTATGAATAATCAGATGGATTGTGATGACCAGACATTAGGAAACATCAGGGTGTTAGCATGCCGGTGTTAGCATGTAGCTCAAAGCCCCGCTGTGCCTAATCACAGCCTCACTGAGGCCACATGGCTGTCGACTTGATAAACGATCGAACTGACGGATCAATTTAGTGCAGAAATGATAAGTAGGTCGACAACGACAATAAATAAATTATTTATAAAGCAGCTACCCAAACGTTGTTTTATACGTCCGACATGTGTCTATCTTTGGGTTGTGACAGATGTTTCCGACACGTTATAGAGTGAATGTTTCATCAATAACGCACCAACAGGCCTACATGTCCTACATGCGTGTAACAGAATATGAGTCAAAGTCAGTTTAGTAATCTTTGCATACCGATGGTTTCTTACATTATCCTAAGACTCTGGAGCGACGCAGTAGAAATGATTACACACACACACACACACACACACACACACACACACACAAGGTTGTTACACAAGAGTCCCTCAGCAGAGCAGAGGCTGAGCAGGTAAACATTAACCTCGGCCACTTTGTTATTTGGCTCGTGCAGCAACAGGGCGAATGATTAAAGCTCACAGAAAATGATCATCCGAGGCAAAGTATAGAGCCCGGCCCGATGACGCAGCGAGCTACACAGGGGACACTTTGCAGGCAGAGATTGTATCATTACTGATGTCGGTCTCAGGGTGCGATGACTCCACACACACACACACACACACACACACTTGTTCCAAAACAGTCTCTCAGCACCGCTCCGGACCGAGGTCTGCAGAGAACACCCTCCTGACTGTTCAGCTGCAGGAGCCACGTTAAAGATCTCAACCTGACGACCCGCTTTAGACAAGACTCACCAGTACAGAGCTTTTGTCTCCACTTAATGTGGATGAATTCATCACGTCAAATTTGTGTTTATTCTTTCACAACTTCAGCGTGAAAGTGATAAATAATCTGTGGAGATCCCTGGTGTGTGTTGCATAACAACGTGCATCCAGGCAACAAGTGTGCTGCAACATCTTGTTATTGAACACTTTCTGCAGAGGAGCGGGCCGGGCAGGTTCAAGGCCACGGGTGTTGTTACGTTAACGACAACTTTAACGGGCCAAGCGCGTGACTCCATGTCGCAACAATGCTCCGCTATGGACCAGAGGTCAGTGCACCGGCAAGAACCAGAGTTTAACCACCAAATAGAAAGAGAAGTTAAGTCCTTACAGGACGTGTTGATCAGTCTGACGGTGAGAACCACAGAGGCTTTGTTTGTGTTGCAAGAGGTCAGCCCAGATCTGTTTTCTAATCGGTCTCAGCAGCACTGTGCAACACAACAGTTATTCTGTCTCTATGTATAATATGTTAGTTATTGTGGATTCTTCACTGTTTTATTACTAGATCTCTGGTTTGCACTATCCACTATGCTGCTGTAAATGTCCCCACTGCAGGACTAATAAAGGATCATCTTATCTTAGCTTACAAGTACACCAAGGCTGTAATTACAGATCGCTCAGCGCTAACACAGCCGGGGCCTGTGGGACTCTGGGCTCTCTCAGACAAACAGCATCCTCAGAGGACTCACCTGGACCCAGAGACACCACCACTCCCAACCCCAGACCTCAAGCTGCTGCATGTTCAAGGCTTTCTTAGCAGTACTGCAGTCTGCTCAGCACTACTACTACTACTACTACTACTACTACTACTACTACTACTACTACTACTACTACTACTACTACTACTACATATATCCCTCTGTAACATCATGACAATCCAAAAACAGTGGTATATGAAGCTAGAGTTCATGTTTCTATCAGTAGTGACCACTTAAAGAAGAGTAAAGGACCAGTTCACCCAAACCACACATATGTGGAACTCAAGGGTAGTTATTGTTAAACTGACAACTAATATGGATGCAAATAGACAAATTATTCTTAAAAACCTCTCAGACACACTAATCTAACCAGGTAGACAGTATAGATCCCCAGCTGGAACTTTTGCTGACATCAAAATGCAACAGAGGTAAATGGAATTGGCTTTAAAGCCTTAAAGAAGTGACAGACTACAGAGCGAGTTCCTAGAAACGCTGTCCGTCCCTCAGGATAACCTACGCACCGAGCCGCGGCTCAGAGGGACTATTTCCTCGGAGGAACGTAGTTCCACTGAAAGCGGCTGACCCTGATGTCTGTGGATTATCCAGAGTAACGTGCACATATTTCCTGGAACGACATGTTGCAGCCGGGTGTTGTAATAAAACACAATGAGAGAGTTTTAAAAGCAGAAGCCTCAGCACCTGTTGACCCGTCGTCCCTGACACATTAACATGTTATGGCCATTTACTACCATCAGGCAGAGAAAGAACAACTACTCCCCTCATGTTTTATTACCATGAGGCATAAAAAGTAGAGTCAAGTTCAGGATCACATTAAATCAAAATGGTGCGACATTTTGGTGAAGGTTGTAGGGCCGAGTTTGGGAGGGGTTTTATTCTGCGTGGTTGTTTATTTCATAACCCGACAGTTTCCTTTATCCATTGTTATTATTGTCAAGAGATGTCATTGTGCGGCCACTTGTTATACCATACTATGATTACAAGAAACTAAGGTTTTCATGGAGCTGGGTCAATGCACCTGAACACATAAGGTGTGTCTGCTGTACAGTTGATGGGATTTGTAGTTAAGTCACATGTAAAACATAAACAGGATCTTTGGACCTCTGTGCAGCCCAAGGCCAGGTGAACCTAAGACACAGCGGATCTCTTCTGTGATTGAGTCCTGCTATACAGCTGTCATGTTAAACAGAAGATATTAAATGTCCTGCGACGACGAGTGAGCCGGTCCTCTCGTTATTAGACCCACGCTGATACAAGCGGAGACAACTCTCGCATGCAAACAGCTTCCCTGACGCAGAGCCAAGTGTCTGCAAATGGCAATGTGGCACAGCTCGAGAGCAGAGCAAACAGCAGCTCTCGTTCAGAGGCGACGACGGCTCTGCTCGGTGAGGGGAGGGGAGGGGAGCATGCTCAGACGGAGAGTCAATATTACAGACACTGAAGCGTCTGAGCAGGCCAACGCTATATCGCAAAACAGTGGTGGACGTAATTGGATAATTTCACACGTTAGCAGAAATAAGCTTCCCTTAATATCGACATGATCTCTCAGGGATACACTTTTCTTTCCTTTTTATGTTCCGACCCAGGCCCATCAGGAGCAGCTTGTGTGGAGCTTAGGTTCGAGTGCGGTAAACAATATATACGCTGAAATAAAGCCGGCCCTCCCGATGCTGCTACACATAAATATGCTGTCCTCCCTGGTTAATGTAAAACATTTAAGAGACACACAAGAGGACGCAGCATGATTTAAAGTTACTCTGCAGCCGCCACGGAGGAGAGCTGTGAACCAAACATGGCGGGCAACAAATCTACAAAAGCCAAGTGTCCAAAACATGCTCATGCAGCAATAACTCAGTTATATTGTCTAATAAATATTTCATAAATTATGAGCAAGTGGCTATTTTCCAAATGACTGCGCTGATTTTGCACCTCAGTGTTTTTGCTTGAGTTACAGTTGCACTTTAAAGAGAGCTTTTTATATTTGATGTACTGAAATGAATCCCTTTATCGGTCCTTCTCCACCGAGAGCCTGCAGGTTCCCCTCAGCTGCACAAACTAAATCCTGTCTTTTCATATTCCACATCACAGAAGATACTGAGAGCAGTTTACCGATGATACCAAAAGATTTACGTGTTGACTTTTGAGAAATCACCGCCAGCCACTGTGGCCTTTCTGCACGGATGTAAACAAATCCATCCGTCCAGTACCTGCATGTAAAACTTCCTAAACTCCATCTGTGACTCTGTGGAGAGGGGTGGGGCAGAGCTCTATGCCTCTGCACCAGTAGGCTGAAAACAGAAGGAATCAGTAGCACGGCAGTGGGGACCAGGGGTCGCGAGGTCAGCCTTCAGAGAGCGTCCGAGACGACGACAAAGGCTCTACAAGAGCAGAGAGCTGTGAAACTGAAAATACCAAAAAAGCCACTCTGAGGCCAGAGCGAATGAATCGGCAGGGCATCAGAGGAAAGATACTGACGTAGATGCTACACCCTGGTCAGGATTCAACGTCTTGAATGATTCAAACAATTGGAACGTGAATTAATTGACTGACAGAATCTTTACGTTTTTAAGAGCAGGTCCCTCGGGCGAGACGATACGAACTCTATTCCACCGATAGACGCTCGGTGGTGGAACGCTTTGTGCAAAAGGCAGGAAAGAAGAACACTGCTAGCTAGCAAATGTGAAAGTAAACAAGTGTTCTATTTGGTTTAACCAGCCAATTATATATTAAAAAAAGGTGACACAGGTGATGGCATGGGAGCTGTTTACGTCACACCAGTGTGGGGATGACGGAGTTTACTTCATTCAGATGAAAGAATGAATATTAATGCACCATCTATATGCAATAAAGACGAGCAGGAAATTCAGTTAGTTGGCAAAGAGTTACACCACAACTGGGGCCAGGACATGACCATGCGCTGGAAGAGGCAGGGATGACGCAGTTATTCACCACCCCGTCCCACTGCAACACAACATGTGGCTCATAACAAATTAAAGTCATCAGAAGATCCACGCCGATCTAATCAAAACAGTTGCGTGTGTTTGTGACTCTTTGTGCCAATAGGCATGAAGCCACAATCTGATAAGGTTCACAGTTCAGCCTCACGGCAACATTCATCGACATTAAGAGCGATACTTATGGCCAACTGGGAATCCCCGCTGGTGGCCAGACGAGGCCAGACGAGGCCAGACGAGGCGAGAGCGGCGTGTTCTGTGTGATAGTAAACCAGATAAAAGGAGCTTTTCACATATAGAAATAACATTTTACGGTTGATGTGGTTTCTGAGAATCTACAACAAAAGTCAACTCTGATTCATTACATTACAGTCATTTAGCATAAGACGCTTTTATCCAAAGCGACTTACAATTCAGATTCTCTCACATTCATACACTGTAGGCACAGCTACGGGAGACATTCTGGGGTTAAGTGTGTTGCACAAGGACACATCGACATGCGATGTGCGGGCGACTGTTGCTAAGTGGAGAGCAGGGTCGTCCTTCAATCAGAAGATCGGCGGTTTGACTAGTCGCATGTCGACGTGTCCTTGAGCAAGACTGTGAGCACCAGTTAGCTCCATCGGGATGGAGGCAGAAGAGACGGATAGCTTAGATCTCAAACCCGGAAAAACAAAACCTCCGAGCACTCTGCATAGCTGCAGATCACCAGAAGCAAGAAAGTTTCTATTTGTATTTGGGTGAGTTGACCCTTTAAAAACGAAGACAATGAGGGAAGGTATGGTTCGGCAGTGGAGCCGATTCTTTTAAATGCGATGTTGTCAAACTGCCAAACGCGTACATCAAGACATTATGAGTATCATATAAATGGCATTCAGTCCTGCCTCTTACTGATTTACACAAGTTCAACATATCCTCGGAGGAAAAGGAGATCTGATGTTCACGCCATAAACAACAACAAAACCCACTCGTCTGTTTTTGCCTCCCCCTCCCCCCTCCATGTTGATTTTGGCCCTCATGGCTGTAGCCGGGTCTCCATCTTGGCCGGACCCTGCCACAGAAGGCTGTTTCACCAGCATTCAGCCAGCCTTGTATGGCAGCATTGTGCGTATGCTAAACACGGCCTCAGAAAACCATCGGCCCTTTGACCGCGCTGACAAAACAACACGGCCCTGGTTCCTGGCCAATGTGGCATCACAGGAAGCAGAAAGTGCACCATTACATTTAATAATAATCAGCATCACGGATAACGCTGCACACCGTGTCACAGGAGTGCTGAGGCTGGAGCCGCTGAACGTTACGCTGTAAAGTCAGAGCCCTGCGGTGTTATTAGTGAAGTTCAGGGTCACACCATCACTCCTCCAGCAGACGAGCAGCACCACAGCCTCTCCGGCTCTACACAGCAGAGCTTTAGAATAGAAAACAGACAACGACATGCTGCTACTTAGAAGTAGCTGGAAGAGAAGACAAACCCAAAGTTCAGCGTTAACAATCCCCTCAGAGACTTCCGTCCTCGTTGGACTAACTCGAGCGGTAAGGGCCAGTGTGTGGGTCAGTAAGAGCAGCAGGAGTAGATACCTGATGGTTATACACAGAGCCAGAGTGCTTTCAGTATCTAGTAGTTGGGCCTTTTTTTTTTTTTTTAAATAAGCGATTATTGTTGAGTTTAGAAGTTGTCAGAAAATAATGAAAAATTCACACGACATTTTTCCGCAGCCCAGGGTGATTCTGAATAGATTTGTTGTGTCTGACATCTGACCAGCAGCCCATGAAGACGGATATTCAGTTTACAGTGACGCGAAACAAAGCAACACAATCAATACATTTGTGCCGAATGAAATGATTGGACGGGATATTCACGGTCCTGTGACAGCCGCAGATAAACGATGCTTTTGATTTATTGATCGCTTGTCGGGACGTAAAGATAAATTCTAGAGCTGAACATTTTTGAAAAATATATAATTGTGACAATTTGACTGATGTTTCAGTTGCGATACGGTGGGTCGGATCATTTTCACATCATTATTCTCATTGTATTTAAAAACATATTGAAATGATTATGGTGTGGTCTTTGCAGGGATCTGAACCAAACAAAGATGTTTTTTGAAGTCTGAGGATTCGGACCAATCCTGTAGTTCGCAGGCTTTAAAGACATCTGTGCATCTTTACAGTCCTTAGGCAGACTTTGTACTTTACACACATTACACAGCACTTAGTGGTTCAGCTTCTTGCTCAAAGACACTTGGACAAAAGGAGGAGTCGGAATAGATCCACCAACCCTGCAATTAATGACCAAACCGCTCTCTAACCAGCTGAACCAGCTGAGCCACAATTCTGACACTTCAATAAACTACAAATGTCAAACATTTGTAGTTTTCAGCTTGTCCGATGTGCTGCAGCTGGTGGCCAGTGATGCTTTCCCACAGTGATGGACTGAGTCGATTAGTACTTAGATGCAACAAGCTCCAAGTTTGTAACCACAGCAGAGAGGAGCCACTTCATCCAGAGGACACTCAACGCCGTCGCTCTGCAACATCAGAAGCTCGGCAGTCGTTCAGACTCCATCCTACCTGTTCGGATATGCTCAGCAATCAGCTGTGCTAATGTGCAAACAGTTCCAGCTTCCCTTTCTTTGACCATGACCGATTTCAGAGGATGCATAACACAGCAGCAGCCCCCCCCCCACACACACACACACACGCACACACACACACCACCACCAGCAGCTCTGCTTTATGACCTGCTGGGCCGGCAATAAGCTGAGACAGCAGGACAGAGAATATCAAATTCATTTAAAAAGAAAAAGAGAGGAGAATCGGTCAGGATCTCCTAAAAAAAGAGGGAGATTTATCCGAGGCCTGGCAGTACGGCACACCCTGATGGACACATCCTGGCTGCACAGACATGCTCGCTCATCACAACGTTGGAACAAGATCAGCTTGGTTACAACCAAAAAAAAAGCCGAGCAGAAGTACAACATTTCTATTTGACTCAACCAAGGAGAGAAATGATTCAGGAAAAAGCAGTTTTTCTTAATAAATGCTTGTTTGTGTGGAGTCCTCCATAAACTGACCCACCGTGTAATCATCACTAAACGATAGCGCTGTCATCAAGCGCCGCGGACCATTATCCTCACCAGCGCATCACTGACACGCACTCCAGTAATGTGAAGTGACACTTTAATGGGCGCAGAGGACGAGATGAGCAGCAGCGACGGTCCGACTGTTCTTATCGACGTTTGACACCTTTTCATTACCTTCACACAGTCTGTAGTGTCACCGTGCATCGTCTACATGAGAAGGGGAGGGTCTGCACAGGAAGCACACATGGGTGTGTGCGAGGGGGGGGGGGGCGGATTTATTATTGGTTTTATTAAGTGGTCACTTTCCTCCACCTCTTGGGTGCGTTTCCACGAGTTCCACCAACAGACACCAGCTGAGATTGGCTCAGCTGTGAACTGCCCCCCCCCCCCCATGCTTTGACCTCCGAGCTGCTGTTCTCTGGGCCCAAACACCGTCCTGCTGCATCTCAAAGAGTCCTTTACTGGACGACACAAACCCGGTCTGACCAGAGCTGGTCTACGCTCTCTGCTCATGTCTCCCAGCAGCAGCCATCGCCTCCGTCCTGGTTCAGCAGAGGGGAACACTCGACGACTCACAATTACAAAGCACACGTGTTTCTGGCTTCACAACACAACTGGAAATAAACACCTGGCTGGTTGCATGACAGCATAAAATAAAAGGGTTTGAGTGCATGACTTCCAAAATGATTAAGTGATTACTCAATTAGTCAATAGAAGGGAAAATAACAATTTTGATCATCATTTAAATATTATTTTGCTTGCTTCTTAAATGCCAAACATTCTCTGCTTGCAGCGTTTCCGTTTTATCTCATTTTTAAATGAACACCTTTGGGTTTAAAGCTGCTGGTCGGACAAAACAAGCCATCAGATGACCGATCCTCTTGGATATTGTATATGTGAATACATCACAAACACAAATATAGAACGTAAACCCCAGCACTACTATGGTTCATATAGTTCCTTCACACTCAGGGCTGTGATGTGGACAATAGTGGGGTGATGTGTGACTTGGTTTGGTGACTGAATGACAAGATGATTCATGATTAATGACACTCATGAAGATGTAAGACACTGAAGCTCAACTGTAAGTCACTTCCACCTCGTCACGAGCATCCAAATGACACAGTTGCACTATTTAGCATGTATACAAACATGAAGATACTGCATTTGAACCAGGAGAGGTGTAGTACAGGTAGTGGTAGTAGTAGTACACCGGGTCTTTCTGTGCCCCAGGTGAGCACTGCTCGGTATCTTTGGGCCACAAAGCAAAGCGGACGTAGACAACATAACACTGAAGTCTGAAGTGATAACAGCATGCTCTGTATTCTGCCGGTGCGTTCACGGTACCTGAATCTCCCTCCGCAGTGCTGGCATTGGTCCCCAACCCAGCCGGGGACGCACACACAGTTGCCAGTGGCTGCGTTGCACTGCCCGTTCATGCAGGGTTTGTCGCACTCCTTCGCCTCGGCGGCGCCGGAGAGCAGCCCGACAACCGAGAGCAGGAGCGCGGTGGTCGGCATCAGCAGGCTCCGGCTCCGGCCAGAGCCGAAGCAGGCCCGCCGCGTCTCCGCGTCCATTTCTCTGCACAAAAAGATGGCTGCTTTGAGGCAAAAGCGCTCCGCTGCTTCGGGGGGTAGACAGCGACTCACCGAGCGAGCTGCAGGTTTATGGTGTGGTTGACGTTTATCGGACGTTTATCGGACGTCCCCCCCACCCGGTGGTTACGGTTACCGTGTCTTCGCTGAGGCTTGTCTTCCGCTGGAGACTTGGTTTACATCTTTCCAGTGGTTCCGTTTCCCAGCGCCGCACCGAGCCGCATATTGACATCCAGAAGTGACGTTATGGCAGCGGAAATGCGCAACCGGGGGATGGGGGGGGGCGAAGCACGCAGGACTTTAAACTCTTATTTTGAAAGCGAAGCGCGCAGGACTTTAAACTCTTATTTTGAAAACAGAGAGCAGCCCTTTACATGCGAGCTTGTTATTTTCCTTTCAGTCATATTTTCTCATAAATGGCGTCTTTCGTCGGTTATTCTGTTAATATGAGACATGACACTGCGATGTTTGTGTTAAGTTTAAGACTAAGGAATAAGTGAATCACCTGTGTGCGTGTGCAGGGCCTTTAATCATGTTATTTACATGTATAAAAGGTGTGCTTTTCTGCTCTTCATTTAAATAACGTGTGCCTTAATTCCATGTGTATGAATTTCTACATTACAGGGCCATGTAGTGTAAAATGTGTGGTATTTTTCTACTACATAATTTCACAAAATATATATTTTGTTATTGTTTCATAATGTTTTGAAAGGGTCTTTATCGTAATATTAGAATCTAGTCTTTGCCAGGTTTATTACAGTATTGCTTGTTATTAAACTACGGCTTCTGTTCGCTGTACAAACACAGCTTGACATAAATATATTACATATGCACATACAGCAATTTTAAGTCGCACTACACCAGAGTAAATTATTCATAGGACTGACATTTGTTTTTTATGAAAGCCATAACTTTGGTGGTTGTTTACCTCTTAGTAAAATTCAGAATGATCAAACTGCCCAACAACCCACAGACTGCACACCAAGGACACACAACTGTACAAACGGTATAGAACGGTTTATTAAATTTAGACTTGTAAGAAGTCATCATATTCCAATGCGCTCCATCGCAGGAAGAGCATTGATAATAACACCAACCCCCGAAAGGATTGATCACGGCATCAAAACATAAATAAAGCAAATTAACATATTTACAATTCAACATGGACAAGGGAACGGGGTTTGTGCACAAAAACAGGCAACTACACATCCAGACAGAGGCGTCAGAGACTGACAGGAGGGAGTCCGATTATTCAAATTCAACTGTCCTCAGGAGAAGAAACCTGGACGGCAGGAGTGAAAGGAGGGTAAACACGATTTAACAAAGCAAGAACCGACAGTATGATCACATGGTATTGGTTTTGAGTGAAAAGAAGAAAATCTCTAGATCCTCATATAATACACTATTGTCAATAATGCTGTTTTAAGTTTTAATGTTATGAGCTCAAAAGCTATTTAGTACTGTAGGTGAGTTAAGTTGTGAACGTTTCCTTCTCTCTTGTTGTAAATCCTCCTCAAACGAGTCTTTAGATCACCTCTCTGAGAAATTGACTTCTATAAAATAGACAAAAATAGTTCCAAATTAATTCCAGCTGTGTGGGAGAGACAGATTCATCCTGGATCCATTATTGAATTGCTTTGAAAAATGATTCATTAATTCGACAAAATAGTTGTACATGGTCAACACTTGAGTAACAGTACTGAGTACTTGAGTAACAGTGCTTTGTGAACTGTCGTTCACAAAGCAACATTTGTCCGAATTTGCGGCGCGAGGTTTCACATTTCCCCTCCCGACTTCAGGATTTACCATTTATGGAACTACTTTCCTGTTTCCAGCCTTATTGGTGGTGGAGTACAGTCTGCTTTAAACTCCGAGGAGAGAACTGATCCTTTTACAACAAGAAGAACGACTCATCTTCATTGAGCTGAGTGAACGGATGAACGAACATCAGTTTGACTTCTTGTATCAAACGCAGTCAAGACTTTACAGTAATCAAAAAACCCTGCAGCATAATCAGAAAACTACGCTTGTTAAAAAAACAAAAAGAGAGAAGACGATTCTTAGAAAAGTACAATCATTGAAAGCACATTACAATTAGCAGTTTGTGAAGTTACAAGCGGGTCATGTGACTCTCCCAGCACGTCTTATGTACATTAAACAATGCTTTTGTGGATCACATGACCAACATCAGGTCCAGGTCCCCAGTAGGCGACGTAGAGGGGATAAAACAGAATCATCTCTCTCTGCTAGTTCTCCTCTTCACGGGAGGGCTGCACACCTCGGGATGTGTCGCGCTTCACCGGGAACACCAGCGGGATGGGGTCGGAGCGCGGTGGCACAATTCCCCCAAAGAGCTGTTAGGTGAGCTTATCAGTCACAGAAAAGTACACTTAACTGACTTTCTAATGGCACTCTGGTCCTGCAGGTTCTACTCTGGTGCTGGAAGGGCAGGCAGACCCCTACGGTGCCCCACACATGTGAAGACAAACACTGAGAATCATTCTCCCACAGCAAGAAGAGGCGACCACCATCATGTGTCTCTGGAGGTCCCACTGTAACATTCAGCTATCCGTTAATGGCAGAGATCGTCCCCTCTTTGTCCCCCCCCCGCAGTATATCACACTATCTTACAGTCGCCTCATGGAAAAAGCAACGGCGCCTTACAGTATGTACAGGATTGATCGAACATATCTTCTGAATTAACAAAGAAAAAAAGGATATAAACAGATTTTTCCCTTCAATTATATACACGGAGCAAAGAGGAGGTGTTGAACAAAATGATTGAGCACCTCAGAGTCAGTGTGTAGATTTACACATAGAAAAAACTGCTTCCAAGTACTGGCTTTAAGATAACAGACTCACACTCACCCCTTCACTTTCCTGTCAGGGACATGCAGAACGGACAGGAGCCAGTGGCTCAGCATTCATTCAGAGGCCGGGGGCCACTTTCTAAAGGCAAATCATATCGGATGGTCCGGGTTCATAAACTCTTCTCTCTGCAGTACATCACCTTCTCTCATTTTAAAAAACCAACACAGGCAAAAAAAAGATGGTCTTTTTTTTGGTCTCCCAAATCAGGCATATTGGGTGTCAGAACACCGGATAGTGCTCGTACCGGTGATCAGTGCTGGTCACCGGTAGATAGGATGATCAAGCGTCAAAGGCCCCTTTGGAGTGTCCTCTTGGTTTTTGATACCTGAGGTGTAGCGTGGGTGAGTGAACACTGGCTGAATGTTGGGAGCAAGCAGCGTGCTGTGACCGGAACCGGCGTTCAAATCATATGTTAAAGAAGTTCTCAGGGCGTCTGTCCGTCGTCTCAGAGTACCAGATGATCGAGTGAGCCATGTCAGAGTGAAACACGCCCAAATCAATTAGTTATAATGTCCTGTGGATGGTAGCTTAGTACACACCGCCCATCTGGCACTCGGAGCCAATTTAAAACAACCACTAAGAATTATTTTGCTTGCACCACTTGAGCCAAGTCTGGTCGTGGACATTACAGAACGGCTGTTGCTTTTAAAATATTCTCTCACTTGTAAGTGTGATTAAAATTGGGAACGTGGGCATGATGGTGTGCGAATATGTAACAGCGTGTGCATTTGCCGAGGAGAGTAAGTGAGCAGGACTTTGTCTCGCTGCTCTGAAGCCGCGCCGATAAATTCCTGCACGTTTGTGTCATTCTCGAGCGTTTTAAAGTCTGAGGCAGTGTGTGATGGCACAGGGGGCTGAGGCGTTTCTCTCGGGCTGGGGAGGTGGGGTGGGATGGGGGTTACATGTTGCGTCACGGGGACTTTCAGTTCGTCGATGTCTGGCGTGAGGGGCGGCCCATGGACGAGGCGCTGTAGGTGCGGGAGCGCTGCCTCATGGCCAGTCGGCAAGGCAGCTCCAGCTCTTGGAAGAGAGGAGTCCCTGTGATCTCGGCCGCCTCGGGACGCTCGCCGGGGCTCCACGACAGCATGCTGCGCACCATGCTCAGCTACACACACAGACAGAGGAAACAGTAGTGTCATGCTACAGCGATGCTAATGCTAATATTGTCATGTATTAGTGCAACTGATTTGCTGCACTTCGAGCTCGTGTGACACAGCGGAAACCTGTAGAAATTGAAACTTACGCACAAAACTCATGATGAAATAATAATACATAGTCGCATTCAGCCAAACACACACACACACACAGGTACGTACGTACACACTGTGCAGGACATCTTAAAATAGAACAGTACACAGCTAGTGGGAAGCTGGGATAGCAGAGCGAGGGGATTTCCAGTGTTGGAGAATCACAGATTATGCGATGGGATTATGTTAATCTCATTACAAAGTAAACACGGGAACAAGGTAATGTGAACAACCCCTCACCAAACCCCTGGTGTGGCAGTAAACAACATATTTAAGTGATTATTTAAACATATGGATAGTTTGATTCTAACGGGATTATTACTGAACATTACAAATTATATTTTCAAATCATGTCTCAGATAGCAATGCTGCTATTTACACTTTAGTGTGTAATGTGAAACTATATGCATGTTTAACTTTATATCCTGTAGATCCGAGGGCAGAATAATCCAAGCACACCTCCTAATTAGATTAGTTCATCAGATTTGACTCACCGAGGTGTTGATGTGGACAGATTATTAAATCTGTGACAGACTACACAATGAGAATCAACCCTCCCAGCTCTGGACTTGTCCCTCTTTCTGCATTTACTTCATTGCATGTTCTCAGGAGAAACACAACAGTTTTCTTTTTCTTGGTTCGTGTGCAGTTTGCGTTTTCAGCCACTAGGTGGCGGCAGACGATCACTCACCTCCTGAACGTTGTTTTTGGAGAAAACCTCTGGGAAGCGCAGCGCTCTCACCTCAGTCAGTGTCTGGAAGAAAGGATGTAAACACCTGTGAGCAGAGCATTGCTGGTGGCTCATCAGGCCCTTTGTTACCGAGACAAAGACGCCCGGTCCATCGCGCACACACACACACCCACACACACAGACACACACACACACACACACACACACACACACACACACGCACACACGCACACACGCACACACACACACACACAAAATAACGATCCTTCAAAGGACAATCGGGATTATGTGTTGCAGTTTGCCCAACACAGTTTCCAGACAAAACAGAATAATTATCTCTCTCTTGTCTCCAGCAGCGGGGATTCTATGGGGTCAAACCATTCTAACTACTTTTACAGTTGAGGAAATTATCTCAACATTTTAATTGTTTCCAAATTAAATAGTTCGGTTTGAGGGAAAATTGCTTGCAGCATGAATGTATTTTAAAAACACATTAGTAAAATATTGTTTTTGCTTCGCTTACATAGCCTTTTGACTTTAGTGATGTTCTCTTTTTTTGAATGCATCACAACCTCATTTGTAACCCTGTATTATACACGGAAACAGTCTACATTTACTACAACAATCAAGTGCTCGGCAGTTAAAAAAGCCAACGTAATGAATTGAATAAAAGGAGAGAGAAAGCGTGATTATGTGCCCGTGTCTTTGCTGACTCACCCTCACTCTCTCCATCTGGGTCCTGAAGGGATACAGCAGCTCAAACAGGATCAGTCCCAGAGAGTAAATGTCCACTTTGTGAGAGTACGAGTTTCCAGAGAGCTGCCAGGACAAAAAGGAACAGATGGAGTTTGAGAGTCCCTGCTTTAGAGGTAGAAGAACAAACTACTAACTTCGCCCATAGATACATGTTGGTATCAAATCTTATCCTGTCATAGTTTCACTTTATGTTTATTGTTCTGGGGAAAATCAAAACATTTAGCACGCCTGCTCACCTGCTCTGGGCTCATGTAGAGCTTGGTGCCGACCTGGCCCGTGTGCCGGGTCAGCAGCGGGGCGGGCGTCAGGGCGCTCGGCTCGTCCTCGTCCTCTTCCTGGTCCATGGCCGTCACCAGGCCGAAGTCTCCCACCTTCACCACGTCATCCATAGTGAAGAAGATGTTGGAGGGCTGGAGGACCGACGGAGACGGGTCATGAAATACATGAAGGCAGAGAGCATTGCTAATACATGAACTCTTGCCTGTGCAGCGGACAGTGTGTGTGTGTGTGTGTGTGTGTGTGTGTGTGTGTGTGTGTTCACCTTGAGGTCCCTGTGCATGAGCCCCTTGCTGTGCAGGAAGTCAACGGCCTCTGTGATCTGGAGGAAGATATCGAGACACTGGTTGTTCTCCCTCTGCTCCGGGAGGCAGCGCTGGGCCATCCAGTCCTTCAGGTTCTCCTTCCGACAGAGCTGCATCTGGATGTACAGGTACACCTGGAGACAAGGAGGGGAAGGTTCAAAGACTTTGGGATTTACGTCTGACAATACTTTACGTTAACATCTGCAGCTTTTTTTAATTTTTCATTAAAGTACTGTAAATATAGCATGTTCCCAAAATGATAGATGGTGTCATTGTGAGCAAAAAGTAATAAATGGATATTTTATGACTTCAGTGTTGCTAAATGAAACAGCAAATGTCCAGCAGGTATCAACATGTCACCGGTCATAACCCCATGACAAGCATGTGACATCATTCATCTACAGTGAGTGAGTGAGTGACTGACCTTGGGAGAAGGCTGGACTCGCTGGGTTTGAGGAGTTGGGGGGATAAACAGAGTAAGTGAGGTTGGCCGGGGGGGAGAGGAAGAGGAGGGCGGGACGGATTCCTGCTGTCTTGTGCGTGAGGAAGACGAGCTGTTCTTCTCAGTCGTCGTGCTCGGGCTGGCTGCACTGGACACCGAGTCTGTGTCGGCGTCGGCGTCCCGGTCGCAGCCCGAGTCCTCAAACACGATGTCAAAGGAAGAAGATGTGCAGTCGCTGGGGCCGCGTGGGGGACAGAGCTCGAAGGAGTGGGGGGTGTCCGAGGCGTCGTGGTCCGCCTGGCTGTCCCGCACAGACATCAGGCTGTCGTGGCCCAGCAGCGGGTGGAAGGACAGGTCTCCATCGTCGGCACTGCCGGCGCTGCTGGAGAGAAGGGCCCGCGAATCCACAGAGGCCTCCAGAACGTCTCCTCCAGGCCCAGAGACCGGCGTCACTGAGCTGGACACTGGGACTTTGACTGACAGCGCCTCCATGTGGTCAAGGAAGCTCATTGGCCAGTCAGTGGTGCTGAAAGAGAGAAAGGAGGGTTGTTGCTGTCAGGCTTACTAAAATAAACTAACCACTATTACAACTAATCATTCAAGATCACTGTGCAAACCGGCAGAAGTATTATGACAAAACAGTTTACGAAATACTAAGGAAACAAACCAAATGTCCAGTTCAGGGTGTAACCACACTAACAGCTCACTTTCTGTAACAATAACACAGTGAAGCGTAACATGTACTTTGGACCGTCTGGGTGCCTCGCAAGAGGAAGAGGATGTTTAACTCTCTGGATGGTTATCTGGTGCTACTTTTAGTTCTAATCCGCCCGACTCAAACAAAGGTTTAAAGACACCAGACTTTAAGGAGATAGTTTGGATGTTTTGCGGTGGGGTAGTTATCCACGGTCGGTGTTTTACCTACAGTAGTGGACGGTCAGCACGCCACCAGTTCGGAGAAACAGACAGGAGGCTCGGAGAGCAAAGCAACGTACAGCTGTGGGCGGGGTCAGCAGCAACATTTATTTTGTACACCTAAAATAAAACCTATATCCATTTAAGTGTACGCTATATTTGGAGTATTTCCACTGCTTCACCTTGCCTTCAGACAGCCCTTTCCGATGTCAAAGCGAAGCTGTTATCTACGTTCTCTTCAGGAAAAAAGATTTTACCTCGAGAACGCGGGAGTGTCTGGTCTACCACTGACTCCATCCACTAGTTTGTTTGTGTTATTGTACGACTTAGGAAGTTCGGATTCAACAAAGTCACACAACAACACAATATAAGTTTTGCTGCAGCCCCCGTGCTGGAACTCCACTGTCTCCTGTAGGTACATACTACACTGACTACGGATGAGTACCTCATGCAAACACACTTCAAAACACCCAAACTATTCCTTTAAGTTAACCGCCCCAAACATGCTTGTGTGATTATGCATGAAATTAATTTTTTCATGCATTTTTCATCCCCTGGCATTTAAACATCTGTCTTAATCAACCAGTGAAGTGAGGCGAGTGATGTTAAGTCTGGGGAGTAATAAATGTCAGCGATGCCATAATTCCTCCTGAGAGGGGGGGGGGCTCTCTTAGCATGGAAGCCATCCCTGACAACAGACCCCATGGCAGTGCTGCTGGACATGTCTGACCTGCTGAGCTGTACAGGGCGACGGGTTTAAAACATAAAAATAACCTGGCTAACCTGCCGTCTTTCAGCCACCTCTGATCCATCTCCTCTTGCCAGCCCTCGGGAGGGCTCTCCTGCCAGGCGTTGAAGTAGCGGATGATCCCCGTATGCTCCAGCTTGGCCAGCGCCTTCACCTCGCGCATCACCTTCTCACGGGCGAGCTCTCTGTGTGACGTGAAGCTGAGCATTAGAGTTGAATACATATGCAGGACAACCAGGACTACGTTTTTCAGCAGTCGGGTTCCACATTTCCAGGATGTCAAGACACAAATCCTTCGAATTGCTACTAAGACATTGCTGTTTATTAGATTTATTTTTTGAGGCATTGTTATAACTATCAGACTGTGATGACCTTCATATGAGCCCAGTCTTGATACACCGAGGTCTCAATAAGCGCTTTCATAAAAAACACTGGCCCTAAAAACACAATCTGGTTTGATATGGGTGGCGTGATGTACCAGTAAACAACAGGGTCTGAAATGAGAATACATGCAGCGCTGCCGTCAGCTGAACACCACATTTGCATGCTTGTCAGTAGGAGTATGAATACATGGCTATTATTTGTACCAAACTGTCAGTTTTGCCTCTGTGTGTGTTCAGACATGTAGGTTGCAGCTTACATAATTCAGTCTAAGGAAACCGACATAGAGGAGGTCTGTGGTGTGGCCGGCGAGAGGCGCTACCTGTTGGGCAGACGGATTCGTTTGATGGCGTAGTTGCAGTCGTCCACTTTGTTGCGGGCTTCAAACACAACCCCGAACCCCCCGCGGCCGAGGCACTGCACCGGCTCAAAGTCAGTCAGGTACCTGGGGAGAAGACACCTTGGTTGTCGTTTTTTTTGCTCAAAGGGGAATCGCTCTCATCAATAGAAAGGTGCTGCGTGCGACGAAGCGTTATCTCCTACTTCTCTGACAAATTCCAAAGACCTGGGATCAGTCAGTGCCCTGTGGCCGAGTAGGCTTATTAAGCGGTAAAAGGTGTTTACCAAGGAGCTGAACAGTATCATGAATTTAAACGAATGTTGTGCTGACACAAACACACTGGGCTGTCACTTCGCTACCACACACTCTCCTGAGAGTCCCATGCTGAAAAACTCAAAATAGAAATGTATTAATAATAATAAAACAGTAACTGTAAGCATTGATACTGACTTTATTTTTGTGTAACCCAAAACGTCCGAGGCAAGATTAAACTTATTTAAATAAAAAAAGGTTTTGATCTATTATACTGTATTCATTTGTTGTTTCCTGTTGTGTGCATATGTGCATATGTGCATTGTGCATATGTGTATTGTGTATCGGGGGTTGTTTGGCTCGGTGTGGGACCCGCTGCTCTGCACCCTGGTGAAGCATCTCTTCTCAGGCTCCTCTGGGGATTGAAGGCTGTCTTATTAGGGAATGTGTGGGCACATGTGAGTCAGGCCTCCATTCCTGATCTCTATCTGCCGCCCAATGATCCTGACTCACGCCCGCCTCAGCTGCTGCAGCCGCCACCACATTTATTAAGGGAAACTTTTTTCGGTGAAAGCAATTTGCATGGTTTGCAGCAGCAGCTCTAATGGAAAGGGGAGGGGCGGGTGTCATTTTGGGATGGATCAAAAGAGGAGAATGCGCAAGTGGTGACAGCAGGGGTGGGGGGGGGGAGCAGCTTAATCAGATGCTTGCTTGCGTTTAGGGGAGAAGAGCTGTAATATTCAGCTAAAGAATGTAAACATGCAAACTCCCATCGATCAGAAGACACAAGGTCAGTGAAAGCCCATCAATTATGGCGACTGATCATATTTGGGATGTCCACAATAAACTTCTGCCAATGTGCTGACAGCGGTGTAAAGTGACACTGCGACCCTCTGGCAGGTGCTGCTGGGCAGGGTGGGGTCTGCTCGATGGCAAACAGCTGAGTTATCCAATCACGCACCACTACGACTCCCATCTCTCCCGTCTCTCCCGTCTCTCCCATCTCTGCCTGGTCCTATCGAGGCAGGCCGGCTGGAAGACCAGTGGTCACCATGGTAACAGTGCCGAAATCTGTAGCTACACCTTGAAACAGAGCGAGACTCTCGGAGCGAGACTCTCGGAGCGAGACTGAGAGAGAGACTCTGAGAGAGAGACTACATCTTTCAAGCGTGAGGATAACAACTCCCAGCGGAGCAGCGGTGTTTTGTCAAGCTCTCCTGAGTCATGATAAAACAACAAAGCGTCACGGCGTGTTGATGATGATGTCATTGTGATGATGTCATTATGATGTACCTGGACACATATTCGCTGGAACGGGTCTCCACAGCAACCGGCTCTTTGGATTCCACAACCTCAAGGTCAAACTTGCAGTCCGTCTGGCACTGCGTCTCCGACTCCTTCCGTTGCTTTGAAGGACAGAAGGAGGACGGCAAGGACACATACATGTGAAACACGGGACACATACATGTGAGACACGGGACACGCAGGGCAGGACATGTGTTGAACCTCTGCTAAGAAATATCTATGACCTCTTTATATACAAATATAAATAAATATAAAATAAATACAGAATTGAGTTATTACTACGAGACACAGTAGAGGGTTAAATTAAGAGAAGAGAATTGAATATTCTCTGATATAAAAAAAGTCATAAATGTACAAGAAAAAACTGAATCGTGTGGCTTCACTTTGCAGGGTTGGATGAGCTTCATCACTCCACAGATGCCACAGGCACAGGCTCGTGAGGAGGACGCTGTTTTCTTCCGATTCACGGCGATGTCTCTTCAAAGTTCAGATGCTTATGACAATATGGTGCTTCTGAGCTAAAAGTCACGAGTATTTGCTTATTGCTAGATGAGATGAGGTCATCCACTGCAGACGCAACACACGAGCTGCGGCAGCTGTCGTGTGACAAGGTTGAGCCGACCTTGTCACAGTGATGTAATGTGGTTCCATGGAGGGTTTTATTCTCACAAATGGACAACTGTCATCTCAGAGAGTTTGCAATTTAGTTTTTTGGTAAATGTATTACTTTAATTTTGGAAATTATTTTTTCTCTGAATATTACATTTTTGACCTACAATGGTCCCAATATGCCATCGTACATCACAGCGTGAATCCTAGTTTTAACATCCAAATGAAAACCTGGACATCCGAGGACGTGGACGGGACAATACGTTTTGTTCAGAGACATTTTGAGGAAATATTTCCTTATGTGGAGCATTTTGACAAAATCAAATGAAGCCATCTCTGCATACAGAATCTTAATCATAACCATGATGATGAGTCACTTGTGGAAGCTGTTGTTATTCTGTGTCTCACATTAACATTCCATGACAAGAACAGCCCCCAGCAGCCACTGTGAGTATGGCTTGTTTCTTACCCTCACATAGGCCACCGGGGCGGGAGGGTGGAAGAACTTGCGGACGATGTAGGTGGTGGCGGCGATGCAGAAGACGATGGTGCCGAGGATCTCCTTCCACCAGGGCAGCAGCAGCACGGGGTCCTTCCTCCTGCCGCTCTCGGCCTCCGCCCCGGTTCCCTTTATCAGGCTGACGGCACTGTCGCGTTTCTCCCGGTAGCGCTTGTTGTAGGGGAAGTAGTAGCCGTTGTCTACGGAGAAGAAAAGCAGAAAAACGATCAGCGGGTTTATGTTTGTTTTCGTCCGTCTCAGCCAATTCACTTTTCTTCGTACACAAGACTCGACTGTGGTCTTTTACAGCCCTGTGTCCAGTATCAGGACCTCACCATATGGATACTGAAGGATGGACAGGGCTCCGTTGCTGTATTCTTCATGGGAGAACTTGTCATTATTCAGACACTTGTCGAATTCATCAGAGCCGACCAGGGCTGGTGTCCGAGATGGGGAATCTGTGTCAAGGACAAGATGAACATGTTCTTTGATCTCGGCAGGAGGAGTAGGGATCAAAAGAGTCGGAATAACAATCGCAAGATTAATCATGCATTAATGGGAATGAAGACAAAGCTCTGAGCAACAGGGAACAAGCCCAAAAGGCTGCTGATTAAAGCCATGCTAATAAAGCCATGGTTGGGTGGTTAGACAGAGGAGGTGTGGACTTACGGACTAGAGGCTTCCACTTGACTGTGGGTAGAGGAATTATGTCTTTGACCGATCCGATAGCTTTGGAAGAGAACTTTTCGCTGATCCTCACCGAGGACTGGAGGTAGAGCTGTCCCTGGTACATCCCTGACAGAACCAAAAAGTAAAGACATGTACTACATTCACTGGTAGTTCATGTGCTGTCGGGGGGTTATGCTGAAAACAAAGTCACAGAAATTGCATAGAAGGCTACTCCACATTATGAATGAGTACGAGCATGCAGTGTGAGCGTCTGTGTCTATTTACCAAGGTAAACACTGGACTCTTCTGCTCCTCTGGCCTTCTGGGAATCGTCGTCGTCCTCCTCCTCATCAGTTTCCGACTGGTTGCTGTAGGCGTTGTCGTCAAACAGGGCGATGGGTGTGACTTTGCCCCCGCCCACCAGCCAAGCCGAAGCGATGGGTGTGCAGAACTACACAACACAGGTGACGCAGAATGAGTTGGTACACTTCACCGAATTAACTCAACTTAAGTCAAGTAAATAAACCGCTGCAAACACGCTCAGTCTTACTGATATGCTCATAACATCTCTACCTGACGTTCCCAGACCAGCTGGCCATCCGGCGCCGCACTGAAGGCCATGACCTTCCAATCGGGAACAGACACTTTGATGACGAGGTCCAGATTCTGGTTCTGCTGGTCCTCCGTCTCTTTTGGTTCGTCAGCGATGACCCGCTGGCTCTCCCTCCAGGCGTCGCCGTTCGCCACCTCTCCCTCCAGGAAGTTCATGCCAGACTGCGTCTCGGGAAGGAGCTTCAGCTCAAAGTTCCCGACGCTGAAGTTCCACCTGGAATCCAGAGCGATAACACACGTTGTAAAACATAAGAAAGTATATCAAATCTGTTGTATGTTAATGATCCGGTCAGTGCGGTAAAGCCAACAGGTCAACAGAAGACATGTTCAGCCAACAGAAGACATGCTAGTGTGAGCTCCTAGTGGCTGAAAGGTTAACGGACTTTATTTAAAGCCGCTGACGGAAAGTCGATGGAACACCACACAAGCTCCAGCGGCCGTCCCATGACTCAAAGTGACTGACTGACGATGACAGGCTGATTGACCGGTCGAATAAAACTCACTTCTCCATCCCTGATCGCGGCCTGATGGCTCGCACCGTCTTCTGAGTCCTCTGCAGCAGGAGCACATCTTCGGCCTCCATCTCCTCGTCCCCCCAGCGGCTGCAGCCCCCCGCGGAGCAGATGTACCGAATCTGAGGCGAACAAAAGGGGGGGGTTATTATACCGTCTGCATGTGGCGAGAACAAAATGAATCAACACACCTCGAGCTTCAACTGAAGTGATTTCACTGACCTTGCCGCTGTAGGCCCCCAGGGCGTAGGTAGTGAGAGATTTCCCCCCAACCAGGACGGTGTCCTCCCCGATCCGGTAAGACGAATCCAGCAGGGACTCCACACTGAAAGGCACTGCCTCCATACTCTCCCTGTCCCGGTTCCACTGGAACAAGGCACCGTCCAGTGAAGGGATCACCATCTTATTGCCAAACACCTGCAGGAACAAACACGTTGGTTTTCAGGAGTTGGTGTCGATTGACTACTTGTCAAAAACAAATTGATGTTAATGAGTTTGAAAAGCACACCAGAAGAAAGGGTAGGGGTCATTTCTCTCTCCTGGATGTAAAAGTCGCTTTTCGGGCCCTTTGGCTTGCAGTCTGAACGTAGTCTAAGAATCTGCTGAACAACACTGTCCTTGGCAAAATAATTGTCTGATGCAACGGCTTTTCACACACATCAGAGCTCCTGGAATATCTTTTACGGTTTAAAATGTCGTTTTTTTTGTCGTTTTGTAGCTCAGACAGACAATCGTTCAAACACAAAACCACTGGCCGACACACACCCGCCCACACGGCAGCAGCTTTGGCCCCCGCACACTTGGACTCGATCCACCGGCTTGGTGGGACCATTACACAACTAAGAGCCTAAGTAATTAACCTGGATCTTTCTAAAAGTGTGCAAGCGTGGAGAGTGTGCGTGCGTGTGTGTGTCATTAGGTGCTCACTGTAAGGGGGCCAGCGAGGATGACATCATTGCAAAAAAACCTGAGCCCTAATCCTGATTTAACCTCCACAGCTTTAGCTCGTCAGTGGGTTTAGGGACAATTGTTTTCTTCACTTCAGTCATTGTTATACAAAGACTGTCGTCAAGAATCTGGACGTCCCAGTCGTGACTCACTCGTTTCAACCAACTGTTCAGGGACATAACGGCAGCGTTTGGACCCATTACTGCTTCCATGTCTCGTTAATGGACACATCAGGTGCTGCTGCTGTCAAACAGTTGATCTGTAAATCATATTTAGACTCTTCAAAACAAAAGTTGGTGTACTTGCTTTGTGGTGGATTAAAACATGTCAGAAGTGATAAATGTGTGGCAGGATGATTTACTGGAGAGCAGAGGTGATGTCATCTTTCTAGAGGGAGGAGGGGAGGTGCTTTAGAGACAAGAGGATAAATTTAGCAAGTGAAAGGAGGAGGAGTTAAGAATCTGACCATCACATCACACCATGTTGGTATGTGTGTGTGTGTGTGGGGGGGGGGGGGGGGGGACTTCTGCTGATGAGTCATCCTGCTCCCGATGCCCTAATCCATGTCTCTGATCCAGCAAAGTGTCCCAACACCCAGGATGCCGTCTCCTCCGTGCCCACAGACTCTCACATACTCGTGGTTCCACTCCAGCGACTCCTGCAGCGGCCCGCAAAACTCTCAGATCAGCAAATTGTGAGATGAAGGAAAAAGAAACAGAGGTTGACGTAAATTATAGAGACGTAAGGAAATCTAAGTGGTGCCCAGTAGGCCAAACTATTCAAACGCGCCGGTTCAACGTTAATGCTTTATAGGCAAGTGGGCCATTGATCTACTTGCCCAAACTGTTTTATCCTCTAAGCCGCCAAACTAAACTCCTGTTTTCCAGGATAACCGACATGCTCGCTTGTGCTTCAGCTCATGAAAGTTGTCTTTTATCCACCGACATGTTCTCACAGGTGCCAGATGGGCACTATGCAGGGCCCACTCTCGAAAAGAGATGACTCACTCCTCAACTAATTCCATCATCAGCTCAGGAAAAAACATTGTGTTTATTTATGTTTTTACCACTTGTCCCATCGAGCAAGTGAGTTGCTAGATTTACGAGCCCAACTTGATATTTTACTTGCCCTGAGCAAGCTGGCATCCTTATTATGCCGACTGTGGCTAAGTGGATAGCAGGCCGTCCTTCAATCAGAGGGTTGGCGATTTGATCCCCGGCTCCGGCTCTGCTAGTGGCATGTCGATGTGTCCTTGAGCAAGACACGTAACCCCATTGCTCCTGTAGCTGTGCCTACGGTGTAGAAATAATATAGAATCTGAATTGTAAGTCGCTTTGGATAAAAGCATCTGCTAAATGACTGTAATGTATTACTGGTGGTTTAGATGGGGGGGGGGGGGGATCCTTAAAATCCAGCTCACAGTGTTACACATTCTATGACTTTAGGCATCAGACATGCAGAACATTATGTGAGATGCATTTAATTTCCCACTGGTGGGTACGTTTACTCATGTATTTTCCCCGTGCAGCATTTAGTTTATAGAAATCCCGCAAGAAATTGCTAAAAAAAGGATTTTCATTAAAATGTAAATTTGTTAATTATTCAAAATGTATAACTGTGAAGCGTCACAGAAAGGTTTGAGGAAATGATTAAGTTCTTGATTTAATGAAAAACAAAAACAAACATCAAAGCAGGTTAAAGGTATTCTTTGATGAGCCGTGTATTAATTATGACCAACGGCCGAACCCCTTTACTGGTTATCCTCCGTTTGTATAAACTGGTTTGGTTTACCAGGTCTTTGTTTTTTGGGGTTTTTTGTCTTGTGTTAAGTTTCATATTTTTGCTACATCTTGAAAACAGATGAAAACAAATCAGAAAAGAGCTTATATTTTTAGGAGAATAGTTAAACTAAAGATTCAAAAAGAGCCACTTAAAGAAAATATTCTCAGTGATTAAAAAATACTGACTGCTCAGCACAAACACTTTCTTTCTCGTGTCTCTTTTGCTATGAATTTCCAATACCTATTAATGTTTTATGAGCTATAACTCAGACCCATTCACGTCTCCAACCCTCTTCTCCTTCTTGAATATGCGGATGCGCCCTTTTTTCACAAATAGACCCACTATCACCACCACCAGCAGAGCCATTCAGCTATTTTCAGGCATCCATCTGTTGGCTGCAGGCAGCATGAGGTTATATCTTCACTGCACGTGTGTGTGTGTGTGTGTGTGTGTGTGTACTATAATGATTATTAGCTCATCTGTAAGGGTCTATCTCTATTAGTGGTGCTTTAAAAAGTATTCGTTCTATACACATATCTCTAACGGAGGCATTCATCCAAAGACGTGCTGATGAGCTGGAACACTTGATGATTATCTGATATTACTGCAGTCATGTCATTGCATCCCCCATGGGACACACGGGGGCGTAGGTTCAGAGGGAGGGGTGAGGTGAG